TTAATAGATTAATAATATATTATTTTGATTTTAATACTATTAATTTTTATTTATTTGAAACTTTTTGTTAATGTGACATTGTGATTTTGTATCTTAGATTTTCTTAATTTAATAGCATATTTTTATTTAAAATTTTAAATAATTATATTTATTAATTATATTATATATTTTTATATTTTAGCGCCTCGCTTAGCTCGGGCGAGCGCCTAGCGCCTCGGGCGTTTTTGGACCTTGGCGCCTTTTGGCGCCTAGCGCTTTTTAAATCATTGGTATGCAGACAATTCCTTCTTTAATTTTCTCCTTTATGAAATTTTGATCTACAATTCCTTCTTTAATTTTCTCCTTTATGAAATTTTGATCTACTTCCTCATGCTTTGTTTTATCATGGTGCATTGGATTATGAGCAATATTGATAGCAACCTTGTTGTCACAGTATAGTCTCATAGGAGTTTCAGTGGGTGTTTGTAATTCTTTTAGAAGCATTTTAGCCATAAGAGTTCACAAATACCTTGTGCTACTACTCTGAACTCTGCTTCAGCACTGCTTCTAGCAACAATTGTCTGCTTTTTGCTCCTCTAAGTCACCAAATGATCTTCGATAAATGTACAATATTCTGAAGTTGATCTCCTATCACTTACTAATCCTTCCCAATCAACATCAATAAAGGCCTCAATTCCATATGATTGTCCTTTTTGAATAATAATCCCTTGTTTGGAATCCATTTTAGATATCTAAGAATCCTATATATTGTCTCTAAATGTTCTTTATGTGGTGAATGCATAAATTGACTCACTATATTCACTGCAAATGCCAAGTCTGGGCTAGTATGAGATAGGTAAATCAACTTAAGTACCAATCTCTGATATTTGTTTGCATCTACCGTGGCTTTTTGAGAAGGACATCCTAATTTATGATTGAGATCTATTAGAGTGTCCACAGGTTTACAACCAAGCATTTTTGTTTCTTTTAGAAGGTCTAGGGTTTATTTCCTTTGTGAAACAAATATCTCATTCTTTGATCTCGTATTTCCATGCCCAAGAGAAATCTTAGCTATCCAAGATCTTTAATTTCAAACTCTTTGGCTAGTATATGCTTCAATTTCTCCAATTCTAAGACATTATTGCTTGTTAGGATAATATCTCTCTTATTTGAGTGTTTATTGAACATTATAGGATAATCATGGCCACAAACTGACCTTGTGAACATCTCAAACCATGCACGTGGTGATTGCTTGAGACGATAAAGAGATCTTCTTAGCTTGCACACCTTATTTGAGCCATACAAATTTTCAAAGCCGGGTGATAGATCCATGTATACTTCTTCCCCTAGTTCTTCATTGAGAAAGACATTTTTCACATCTAATTGATGTAAAGGCCATTCAAAATTAGCTGCAAGAGATAATAATTGAATAGTATTTAGT